CATGGCAGCAGCCCGGCCCCAGCCCTCCGACAGGCACAGCAGGCAGGAGCCGGTGGCTGCTGCTGCAGGGAGTTGGGTGACCACCAGAAAGTGCACAAGGGCTTGCAGCTGCTCAGCTTGGACAGCCTGCCTTAAATAACATTTTAGCAGGTCCCTAAATTATTTATCTACCACATGAAACACAATGCCTATGTCTACTGTGTCCTAAGCACATGCAAGTGTCTCTCATTGCTATTTTAACATGGTAGAAAATACTGTCTGTCATGTTCCAGGAGCCCAAAAATCAGCCATTTGAGCACTCAGGCACTAGCTTGCAGCTTAGTGTATTTTGTGCTACACAAGCATGTCCACCATTTGTAATATTTAGGCTGATGTTTTGCAGTGGAGAACGGGGGGACGGTTGTCTTTGTGTCTCCAGCTGTGCTCCTGCCTATTTGTAACCATCTTCTGTAACCAGAGTTAGCAAAAACTAATCCTTCAAACTGGTTCCCAGGTATGACTTTGTGGAAGTGGAAGATGTATCAGAGACCAGCACGGTTATACGAGGACGGTGGTGTGGACACAAGGAAGTCCCTCCAAGAATAACATCAAGAACAAATCAGATAAAGATAACCTTCAAATCCGATGACTACTTTGTGGCTAAACCTGGATTCAAGATTTGTTACTCCCTTGTGGTAAGTCACCTAGCTGTGTCGTGGGTGAGAGACAGATTGTAGTGTAAAAGAACATCAGTACTTGAAGACTGGGTGGCGTAGCTAACTGCATTGGATCAAAACACTAATTGACTGAAAGTATTTTCATTCCAATAACTACATTAATACAGATCAAAGTATTTTTGACATCCTGTCATTATTTATAAAATAAAGTGAAGTCCAGGCCAAGATTTACACTAATAACATGTTTCAGAAGCACTAACACTTTCTGCATTGAGGCTGCACTGCCAGTGCCTTGATAGACGCTGCAGAAATAGCAAAGAAATGGCTGCTCTATGAGCTCCTTTTTTATGTTCATTTGAGGTCAAATAAAAATACCTTGAGGGGTTATGGCTGTGATTCTGAGTTAGATGCAGAGTAGTTTATTCCACATGCAGTAAAATTCTACATGCAAGACAATGTGCTAAGGCTCAGGGTGTATTTTTAACCATTTACAAACATGCCTCTTTGTATGTGCAGTGGCATTAGCAGTGTATCATGTACTGTTTCAATGAGATGAAAACCTCCTCTTTTTTTATTTTGGTTTTGTGGAATGCTCATTACTCCAAGTAGATTTTGATACAAATATGTATTCCTTTGTATTGTCCTGATTAATATTATAATGCTTTTGGTGCAGTGTAGCTTGAAAGAGGCAGATTTTGCAAACACTCAGGAAATGGTAAGCATTAATTTATTATACTGTCATCATTATATTTTCATATCCATCACACTTCTTATTCCCTTTTTATTCAGTCCACTGTTATTTAACAAGAATAAGAAAGCCAGGAATAGCAATAATGTTAATGCTGTAACAGGAGAGATCCACTGTTTGAGTCATTTCACTTCAACCTCTCGGCTTTGGATGCATGTATGCCTATGTATGCTAAAAAGAGTCCATAAACAGCACATTGTCAAGACAACTCTAAAGCTATAAAGATTGTGCTGCCTTGCATTTAAATTGTTAGGCTTCTAGTGGAGTGAGGCATTGCACTATGAGTAAATCCTGAGCTCTAATTTATTCTAATTTGAAGGTAATCTACTAAAACTAAAATTTAGGCAGAACAGTCTATGAAAGACCACTGGGTATAAAAATGAGACAGTGAAGCAGCCTTTCTTTACACTGCTCGTATTTCAGTGCAGCCACAAAAACTCTGCTGCATTTAGCAAGCTTTATTCCAGACCACGTACAGCTAGTCTCATCGTATTATGCTTTCCAAAAATGAATGTTATCACAGAAAACACAGGACTCTCTGCACTAGAAAGCTCAAAAAAGGCTACTGTATTTATCTAATTTCAAAACTATGAGTAAACAGAGAATTTTACAGTCTAGCAAATCTACTCAGAAGAATACTCTCCAAGTGCACCCTCTGAATGAAATACTGTTTTTTTCTCAGAAGGGAACCGTATAGGTGATTAGTGGCATTCGCACGTCACTGTGAGATGGGGGGTGATATGTACTTAGCTGGTTTTCAGATTCCAAATTGTCCAACCTAAAACTGCAGGATTAATATTCAGCAGAGTCAGCCCTTATTTGATAGTCCCCACAGTCACTTAGAGCTCAGTTCATAGTTATGCTGAGCACTGCTGACCCCTGAAGGTTGAACTCATTGTGCGTTTCTAGGCGGCAAACCAAGGAGCATTAATGAAGCATGCAAAAACATATGGTATTTTGTATCAGATGAAGTGAAAGACCTTTACATTGCTTTTTGTCTTTTCTTTGTAACCTTCTCCAAGACAAGGCCACTTCTGGGGGCTTTCTTGGAAAATGGTGCACGAGATATGTGCAAATCTTTAACTCCCTTTTTTTTTCCTTATATTTGGAGTTTGGATCTGCATGGTGGTTGTTTATTTGTATACCAGGCTCTTATTGATACTTTTCCAGAGAAAATTGAAGCAAGCGATTTGGAGAGTTCCCTTGAGTTCATTGATCAGCTGCATCTCCTGAGCGTGGTGCCAGAATGGCTGGGTGAATTTCTTCCCATTACACATGCAGCCAAACAGCCTCGCAGCCTTGCTCTCTGGCCTTCTCATTTATGAATCTTCAAGGAAGTCAGTTAAGTTCACTTCATTTGATGCAGATCAAGATTTTACTTAGTTCAGCACTCTGCATGAGGCACAAATGAGGCACCGCAGAGCTTAGCAGAAACATACATCGTTATCTTCGTGTACTTGTGGTTTTGCATTAACTTTACATTTCAGTACCATTTAGAGAAAAAAAAAAGGGATTATTTCTCTAGAGAAGACATAAATTAGACTTGTATCCATGAAAATCATGTTTGCCCCTAAAACAAAGCATGTGAAGTAAGCAACCCACGTAAGATGGAGGGGCTCAGTCACTCAGGATGGTGGAATTAGAATTCAAGGCGACTCTGGAAAATTAGACTGAAAAAAATACAAGGATGATCTTTAACAGGACAAGGTTGAAAGCCATACGGATGTGTGGGAATAATTAACTGTCCCAATATAAGATAAGGGACAACGGGCAAGGGAGCAAATCTGTGAAATAAAGTCTGGACACTGAACACAGCATTTAGCCACCTTTGCTTGCCAAGGCTGGTTCCCTCCACCTTCTTCCTCTTCCTCCTCTTCTCCCCGCATCCTCTGCCTCTTGGCACCTCTGCCTCTGCCCTCCCCTCTGTGGGTCTGAGGGACTAGGAAGGCCGGAGGGGGAGCAGCGAGGGTGGTGTTGGAGCAACAAGGGGCAGATCCAACATGTTGCTGCCTGTTGCCTGTCCCTGATCCGCTCTTTCTCCATGAAGCCATGGGACTCCCTGGGGGGGGTGGGAGCTCCAGGGTGGAGCTGACTCCAGGAGCTTATTAGTGACTTGAGTGTGCCCCATTGCTTATCCCAAGTTGAATAAGAGTCAAAGGTGTCCTAACGTGGCTGGAAAAAGTCAGTCCTACTCTGTGCTGTCTGTGACGGTGCAGAAGTAGGCAAGTATGTGCAGCTGGTGGCTGGTGTCTACGGACACTTCACACTCAAAGCCCCCAGTTGTAGCTGTGCAGTTTGTTGGCTTAGCCTGAGTATCCACACAGAGAAATGTCTCCCTTGAACCTCTTTAAAAACTGTCTTTTCCTTCAAGCTTCACAGACCTAGAGCAAAAATGGTCTGGAGCAAGCCCTGGACAGCTATTAGGCATGAGCCTCACTTAGCTGCAAATTTGTTTGAAATTCCTCCTGCCGTTATCGCTTAAAGTGCTTATTTCTCAAACATTTTTTTTTTTTTTTTTACTTTTCTTGATCGAGTTGCCTTAGAAACTTCAATTTGCAGTATCGAAGACACTGAGGTATTTCAGTCTTTTTTTCTCATGCATTATATAATTTCTTACTCTAAGGACATAGTGTTTCACAACAAACACTGTAGAAATACGTGATACAGAGAAAGATAAGTCATCTTAGGTTACTTACACCGTTGCTAGAGGGGAGGTAGGCACTGTCAGGAGAGAGGCCCCTGGGTTGCACACCGTAATGCAGGTGATGTGAATATTCCATATTGCGGCAAATGTAAAAGTTCAGTCCACTGCTGCTTGCAGTGCAGTTACCTCAACTGAGGGATCTTGCATGTAGCAAGTAAGTATTCAATAATTACTAAAAATACTGCATCAATTATTTTGAGATGTAGGAATGTAAATTAAGTTACACTGCTACACATGGAAATAATCTTTTCTTGATTGAAGTAATTTTATACAATCCCCTTTTTCCTTCTGAAGTGAAATTTTTCCGATGTCCTGATTTGAGAAGAGAATGTTAACAAGTTTGGACCCCAGGTTTTACAAGTACATTAGCATGGACATTTACTAAAATAATCTAGGAATTCGTTCAGGAACGTGTTCCAACAATGAAGGTGAATGTTTTGAATTAAAATTCTCAACCCTGCATTTAATTTCATTTTAATGAGACGACTAGAAAATGTTGGATTCCATTTGCTAATTAAAACCACTATTTTAAGTTTATTACAAAAGGCACATATTTGTTATATGGTTATAACAGTAAATTGTTATTGCCTTACTAATTGTTTCATTAATCCTAAATGAAATCCGTATTTGGGAACTTTGACTAAAGTCATTATTGGAAACAAGGGCTTCAAGAAAGCTTGGAACATATGTATATATAAGTACAAACATGCATATATACAAAGATGTAAGGTTAAAAAATATATATTTACATATACATCTTTTTACATATACACACATATATATATGGTTTTACCTTTCTTTTCTTTTTAGTATAATTCATGACTAGGAAACATCACATGGCATTAAGAGCAATCTTTACTTCTTTGGGAATTGTAAACCAACAATGGTGGACATGTGGTGCTAAACAGGAGAACATAAGTGCATTTGTCCCAGGATAAACTTATGTGTCAAAATGTGTATCGGTGTGGTAGATCATGAGTAATTTTTGCTTGTTTGAAGTGACATTTCTTGAATGAAGGAGCCATAAAGAAATTAATGGACTGGGGGGGCGAACTTTGGGTTTTGATCCATCATGTGGAACTTTACAGAGAACTAGCTTTCTGCTAAACATCCAGGCTGTAGGTCACCACCACTCACATGATCAAAAAAAGAACATTTGTCACAAAGTGGGGAAAGACACCACAGGCAGTCTAATAAAATTTAATTACTTGCCCATGCAAAAAAATGTTGACCAGTCAAAGTTAGTTCAAATACTAGACTTAAACTCTTTGATACTTGTCTGTTAGGCTCACAAGAAAACACCAGAAATTCAAAGCACAATCAGAAAATGAAAATGGGCAGAATAAGAACCTGGTCCTGATACTTGTACTCACAATCACTCTGAATTAAGCGACTGGCTCCCTGTATTTTAGCAGATTTGTTTGCACAAGTAATGCAGCACCAGGCTGCAGTTTTTTTAAATACATCAATAAATAAACTTCCTTGTAAGAGTTAACATGGTTGCAAAAAGATTCAACCGTCAGTGTGAATACAGATCCGTAAAGACCATAGAGGATGATTAATTCT